TCTGGCAACTTCTTCATGATTCGATATCAGCATCGAAATTGTGGCTGCCTCTTCTGTCATCACTAAATATGAAAGGTTTGGGGTGGTGTTAAAACTAAGAGAATGTACCTTCCCCAAGCCCTTGGGTATGGTTTGGCTTTAATACAGCTCTGACCACAATAGTTTAGGCTCAGGTTTAGCTTCAGTCCTTGGCCCAACAGAATGCACCTCCCTTCAATGACATCTCAAGGCCACACCCAGCACTTAGTTCCTAGTGGTAGCCTCAAGCATGCCTTAATTGACAGATGCACTTCTTTAGCTCTGAGTGAAACCAATCTTTCATAAACAAAGTGGGACAAGGTATATGCTGTCTCTTGGCATTTAGCTCACTCCTGCATTATTGACCATGAGATGGTCTAAATCAGAGGGAAAGAAGGCAAGCCTTGGACCAATCACTTAAGAGGACTCCAAAAAGCCTGCCTTGCCACCAAATTCTATGACCCAGGGAATTGACTACCAGATAACTATGGGGTGCAAGGCACCTGGACACATATGCCTTTTTATGTCCTAGATCAGTAGCAGGTTTTCTTAGTTTCTATTTATCCTTCAGGAAAAGAATTCCATTTCAKTCTGCCTCCTGCAGTGCCTTCCATGTTTTGATATTGCCCATGCAATTGCCCTACCCACCTTTACTTTCCCTTTCAGTTTACTACGATCAGGGTTGGCAAGTACTACAGCAGAATCTTCTTCTGTGTAGTTATTTTCAGAAAGTCAGGACAATGTTTTCTAATGAGCAATAGTTAATTAGAATTATACTTTGTTGTTATCACTCTCAAATAAGATGCTCAACCAGTGTGAAACATTTCAAATGAATTATGGACAATTTGTATTTAGCATATRGTTTAGATAACTAATCCTTATTTATCTATTTATTTATTCCTAGCAACTGCTGTATCTTTTAGGAACGGTAGATTCTATTTATCCAGATTTAGGACCCTGTTTCTAAGAGAATTCATCTTAAATATCCTGACTTTCTTGTGTTTATATAATTACTTTTAAAGATGTATGTACATTTTTTTCCCCTGCTTCGAAGTTGTTTTAGTTTTTCTTTTCTACTTTGAAATTTTATTTTAAATATCAACCTTCAATGCTTTGCTTCCTTAGGTCTTATTTGGGAGGCCAACCTTTTCTTGCAAAATTATAAGAAATCTTGTTTAAAACTACATRAATCTCTTTTTTWWAAAAAAATCTCTTTATTCCTAGAATGAAGGTGATAGTGATGTTTCTGTACATACATCCAAAAGGAAGAAAGATAAGCATGCACATCAGTACTTTCTACATCTGCATATGTTGTAGCTAGTACTTTGAAGTAAATTTTCAATCATGTGTTTCTTCCTTTATTTTGATTTTACTGCAGTATGATTTTCTGAATTTACCTTGCTTCCAAAGTCTTCCTATCTTTCAGATGCTATAGTCTTCCTATCCTCTGGAGTTAWATGTTCCTAGCCTCACAGCAAAAACTCACTCCTCTCCCACTCCCTCCCCGAGTACTGGGATTGAACCTTGGGGGCTTTACCACTGAGCCACATTCCCAGCCCCCTCCCTTAAAAAAAAAAAAGACAGGGTTAAGTTGCTCAGGCTGGCCTCGAACTTACTACCCTCCTGCCTCCACCTCCCCAATCACTAGCATTATAGGTGTGTGGCACCAGGCTGGGCTYGCTTTCAATTTTGGTCTAAGTTATATCAGAACTTACTTTCTGGTGCCAGTAAAGGTGTAGCTGGGATCCTCTTTCTGGGAGTCGGTATCCTCCCTCTGCATCTGCTTTGATAGGAGTACTCGCTTCAGAACGTTTCCTTTGAGAAATTTGGAAATGATCTTCTTTCTCTGAACATTACTGAACACTCTGCCTTCGGGAAGCCAGCTGACCTTGTCACCTCCACCGTGGCCCGAGGGAAGGGAAAGGTATTCAGGAGACACAACAACCCTCTTTGAAACAAAAAAAGGAATTGCTGTTTACCTAAAGTTCATGAATAAAAGAGCCGACTAGACAAACAACCCAGAGTTCTGCTCCCACTGCTGCGGCTACACTGCGGGATTAATTTAGTTAATAATGTGCTGCTAATCGCCTAAGCAGCCTGCTGCTCTGTCATAGCAACTGAACCTCACAGCAAGGAGAGGTGCCTGCCCTGGCTTAGGAGAATGCTCTCGAATCTGTTCTTGGCACAAAATAATTATACGTTAAAAATTTGGTTTTGACAAAGGTAAATATATTGGCCTTTGGAGAATAGGATTGTAAATAAGAGATTCACAAAGCAAGAGAGAAAATAGAAGCATTTGTTTTATCAAAGACTCTTTAGTACCCAAGGCTGAGACCTGGTTGGCTTGAACCTAGATCACACAGTCAGCCGCCCAGCATCTGTAGTGACTGTTACTCCCGCCCTAAAAAATGTGCTTTTCATCACTACAATTAGAAAATAGAGCCATTTACTAGAAGTCTTTCTCATTGTAAAAAGCAAAATGTACCCATCTGACAGTTCATTTAAAAATAAAATTTATTTTATTTATGTGGTGGCACACACCTGTCATCCCAGCTATTTGAAGCCAGCCTCGACAATTTAGTGAAACCCTGAATCAAAATTTTAAAAAATAAATAATAAAAAAGCATTGGGACTATAGCTCAGTGGTAGARCACTCRGAGGTCAATCCCCAGTACCACAAAATACACAAATAAGTAGATTTATGGCTGAATAGTATTCCAGAGTATATTTATACCACATTTGTTTTTTTCATCCATTCATCCATTGATGGGCATTTAGGTTGATTTCATATCCCTGTTGTCATTTATAGAGTTGCAATGCCCATGTCAGGGCAAGTGACTCTTCAATGTACTKATTTAATTTCCTTCAGTATATACCCAGTAGTAGAATTGCTGGCTCTATGGTAGTTCTATTTTTAATTTCTTGTGGGACCCCCTCACTGTTTTCCATAATGACTGTGCAATTTACACTCCCACCACAATGTATTCCGTTTTCTCAGCATCCTTGACAGTATTTGTTTCGTTTTGATAAGTCACTCAAAAAAATATAATAATTGTGCTCTTATGGTTTTTCATCAGTCAACACGCTCCAGAAAGCTGCAAACATTCCATCCATAATGACTTACAGCAATGATTAAGAACATTGACATGGTATGTAAAAAGATCACATTTTAATGGATCATTTCCTTAGTACATTGAATGATTTAAAACATAGTTTGTTCTTATATATCTATAAAAATAAGGGTCAAAGTAACACACTCAACTTGCTTGGAAGAAAAACAAGGGCAATATGTCTTTCAGCTCCTAGAATATTCTACCTTTCTTACCCCCATCAAGTCCCTTTTCTGTTCCAAAACACCCAAACAATTATGAATCACATTGCATTCAAGTGGTTCGTGTTAGTTCTATAACAAATTTTAAATATGTTTGTTTTTAAATATAACTAGTTTATCTAATTTTTTTTTTTTTTTTTTTTTTTTGAGATGAAGGTCTTACTGTGTTACAGCCCAGGCTGGTCTCAAACTCTTGAGCTCATGTGATCTTTCCTGCCTCAGCCTCCTGAGCAGCTGGGACTACAGACATATACGCCCTGGATATGAATGGTGAATGCACCATATGGTACAGTCAGGATAATTTTAGAGTCCTGGCCGAAGGTTTTCACGTTTGGTAAAAAGCTGGCCAATATTAGCAGCTTCCCCATGGCATCTCTGCGCATCTTCCCCAACTCTGACCCTGTTGCACTGTGGTTCCTTGGCCGATTCATAATGACAGGGAACTTCACTGTAGGTGGAACATGCCTGAAATCAGGGAGTAGCTCCAAGAAACCCTGTTATTTGCATTTTTGTCCCAAACTGGGGAGTAGCTCTTAGAAGCTTCTAACTTGCTGAGTGTCACGGTGCAAAACTGTTACTGTGTCAGGTAAGGGAAGAAAGGCTAGGCTTTTATACTGGGGAGTCAGTCAAATTGGCAGGAAAACAGGTTGTACTCAAAGCCAGCTTTGAAGGAGGAGAGAGGAAACTTTTTCTGTTTCATACCAACATCTGCAGAGATCTCAGGGCCCAGGAGAACTTACAAGGGACGGAAAGCCAAATGGGACAAAAGGCAGGAAATAGAGATATGTAGATTTAGTTAGCAGAGAACCTGTCAGTCAATCCCTAGGCATCTGTCAGGCCAGAGTGGGCAGCCTTTCCACCTCCAGCCTTATTGTGAAGAAGTTTAGAAGTTAAAACAATGTGGAGCTTTTAATGTTCAACATGAGGAAGTTGCCCTTCACTTCAGAGGGAGTCTGTTTCCTTAGGGCTCACAATCAAGTGTGGTGTGTTCAAGATTATGTAATCTCTCTACTGTCCTTTACTCTTTGGTCTACCATGGCTTCTTATCAGTAAAGTTGAGCACTTTTATTTATTTACTTTGCTTCCTCAGTGTTCATTTGGATCAGAAAATAAGAAGCAGTTTGGCCTCTTACCTGTGTTAATCTGGACATTTCCTTGGTTTGGGACCATGAAGTTCTTTCCTCAGATCTGCTCAGGATTGTGATGATGTAATCACACTCCTTAGGGCCCCCGTCGGATTGTCTGTGGAGTCTTAATTCTCCTTGCACAGGGTGAAAGGCCTCTTCTAAGTGCCAGAGGGGAAAATGACCTCAGACAGAGATGCACATTGGCTTTCTCCTCCCTTCCTTTAGGAAGGTTCTATTTTTTTCCCCTCAGATCTTGTCCGTATCCAGAAAGTCAATTAGCATTTCTGTAGAAAATCCCTGAGAGACTTGACTGCTTTTCTCTGCTTTGAAGGTATAGGATGAGCACTCAGGGTTCTAGGTCAGTCCCTGGACCATTGTGACTCTCAGAATGTGAAGTAATCAGCAAAAAGTAAGTTCCATCGTCTCTTCTTGGGAATGGAGGGATTCCCAAGGAAGAGGAAGAACCATTGTCAGACACTCTTGGAGCTTTCTATTTGTCCTTCTCTGTRACTCCACGGGCCATCATGGGAACAGCCAGCAACAGCCCTTCTGACTTGAACATCATCGTCCCTGAGAAACTGGAGCATAAGGACTATACCCAGCCGGATGTCCTGTGTCATACCTTTGAGACTCTGTCTAACCTTCACAAACTGCTTCCAAACCATCTTGTGGAGCTGCTTCAATCCTACCAGAGCGAAGAGGATAAAAAAAAATGTATGTGGGTAGAGGGTGTTCATGAACTCTATTAGTAAGCACATACTTCATCTTGGTAAAACTGCCTCTTCTTTTAGCCACAAGTAAGAATTTTTCCTTGACATTGTAGGTGTGATCAGTTCCTTTTGTTTTGTACAATTTTTTTTTGGTACTATGGATTGAACCCCTGGGTTCTGCACCCCATCCCCAGACCTTTTTATTTTTTTATTTTGAGCCAGGTTGCTGAGGCTGACCTTGAACTTGTGATCCTCCTGCCTCAGCCTCCTGAGCTGCTAGGATTATAGGCACTTGGTTTATCACTCTACTTTAGGCAAAGAATATCTGTTTGAAAGATGAATTGTACCAAGGTGGGAAGTACACTGAATTTACAAAGTAGGTTTTAGATTTTGCTTTACAATAGTGAGAGAACTTCCAAGTTGAAGGTTAGAGTTCAACCTTTGTTCCTTTGCTCTGTTTCATCCTCCTCCTCTTCTTGCCATGGAAGAAGCTGGATATTCCCCCCTGGGAATTATAAGTAACCTTCAATTTTTTATCATTATTATTATTTTGAGATGGGGACTTGGCTATGTTGCCCAGGCTGACCTTGAATTCCTGAACTCACTTAATCCTTCTGCCTCAGCTTCTTGAGTACTTTGGACTATTGGCATGTGCCACCACGCCTAGCTACTAACTGTGACATTTTGCAGTTTGGAGTGACCTGCTATTCCTGAAATTTGGTCAGGGCCATTGCTAATTTGATTGATTTGGAGAATTGAGTGGAGTCTATCTCCTGAATTTCTCATGACTAAGTGGAGGACACAGGTAGGTGGCAGCCACCTGTGCCTATGATCTTAGAAGACAAAATTAGAAGGTGCCACAGTGATTCAGACACAAACCAGAGAAGTAAGGTAGATATTGGCATAATGATTTTTAAACTACATGGTAAATCTGGCCCTTTGTATTCTGATTAATCTCTAGTCCCTCAGTCCAGGTATCTAGGCCACATTACAGATTACATTAAGAACACATAAATCATCAAGAAAAACAAAAACATCCTAATAGAATAGATAAATGTTTGCATCGGCAATCCGCATGATTAGCCATAAATCAATAAGATGAAAAGAAGTTTGAATTCTCTGGTCCTTAAGGAAGTAAAAGATATAACAAGGAGATCATTTTAGGCATCCTACTTTTCAAATTTAAAATGATTAATCATAATGAACTTGTGGGTAAATTAATATCCTCACATACTATGAATTGATTCAGGCTTTTTGAAGGATAATTTGAAAGTCTTTGTCAAAAGTTCAAATGTATGTCATTAGCTTATTGAAACTGAACTTGGTAGAAGGAGATTGTCTTTCTCATAACTCGATTTGACCCATTCTGTTAACTTCTTGTCCCTTAGCCTTGGGTGAAATTACAGGAAAATCTCATAGCTTTTCTGGTCGTGTTGATAATGAAAAGTCTTCTCTAATATCAAAGGACTAAATTCTCATCCAGTTTAAAACCTGTCTGCGCCTGTTTGGAAACCAGGAGGAGGCAGTAGGGGGCTTCTTTTCTTTCTGTTGCTCCAACTCTTCCCTTGCTGGCTTCTGTTAGGAGACACAAATGAGGGTGGAAGGTAGGAGAGGAGAGGAACTAAAAAGCTTTTTCTTGACTGGCAAAATATCAGATCACTGCCAAGCACGTGATCCCAGCTGCTCAGGAGGCTGAGGCAGGAGGATTGCAAATTCTTAGCAATTCTGTGAGGCTCTGAGAAACTTAGTGAGATCCTGTCTCAAAATCAAAAATAAGAGAGCCTGGGGATGTGGCTCTGTGGTTAAGTGCCTGTGTGTGTGTGTGTGTGTGTGTGTGTGTGTGTGTGATCGTGATCTGGTATGTACGCCCTCTCAGAGTGGCAGCTATGAAAAGCTGTTACTTTCTCTCCTGGGGCATCTGGGCGGGTTCTTTGGTGAGTTCCTATTKCTGGGTTCTCATTTGCACAGCCTCTGCCAGTATTTCTACCACGCAGCCTGCGMAGTGGTTTCATTAATGAGGTTCTAGGCATAAAGTTAGTTAGAAGAGATCGAAATAAAAACACAGACTCAGTTACCTTATTTCTATTGCTAGGTCCGAGACGGCTCACCTCTCTGGTTCCCTCGCCCAGCAGGGCAGCAAGGATTACTCAGGGCTAGCAGGAGAGAGAGAGAGCACGCCAGGGACTAGCCTTTTATTGGGGAACAAGAGATTCAGGGGAGAATTCCATCCAATGAAGGTTGAGGGGGGGCTGCACTCCAAGGTTAGGGTCAGTGATTGGGTCCCCGGGGTCAGTGGTCAGGCACACCCCCACACRGATGGGCTCTCTCATCAGGAAAGGGTCKGGAAAAACTTAGACTGAGCCAAAGTGCCTCAGGCCCTTAACGGGAGTCACCCAGTCACGTGTTAGAATGGCTTCCCACAAGTATTTCCCTTCCTTTATCTCCACCTGCCCTAGTTCCAGCCCTTGTAACAAAATACCACAGATCAGGKGACTTCTAAACAACAGAAATTCATTTCTCACGATTCTGGAGGCTGGGGTCGTCCAAGGTCAAAGCAGATTCAGTGTCTGYTGAGGATTTTCTGGCTGAGAGACCACAGCTTCTTGCCCTGCCCTTGCCTAGTGGTAGAAGCAGTGGGTCTCTCCAGGAACTAGTTTCTAAGGGCACTAATCCCATCAGGAAGGTCCCAGCCCCATGACCAGTCCCTTGGGGGTAGGATACCAACATKCATTGGAGGCGCACAAACACTCAATCAGAGCTCCACCCCCTTCCCAGCTTTTTATGGCACTGGTCTCTCCTGTTTCAACTAAGATTTCCTCATCCTTGGACAGAATCCCTCTTGTGATCCTAGTCGACATGGTTTCAAGCCAACTGCTTTCAAGGAGGTTTACATTTGGCTTGTAAAAAATTTAAGCCTTTAGGCTGGGGATGTGGCTCAAGCGGTAGCGCGCATGCCTAGCATGCTCAGGGCGCTGGGTTCGATCCTCAGCACCACATAAAAATGAAATAAAGATGTTGTGTCCATCGAAAACTAACTAACTAAATAAATATTAAAAAATTCTCTCTCTCTTTCTCTCTCTCTCTCTAAAACAAAAAAAATTAAGCCCCCTTTCCCCATGTCTTCATCCAGAGATGAAGATGAAATGGTCTCAGAGGAAATGAGAAATTTTTTTTTTTTTTTATCATAGCAACCCTCCGTTTGGATATATTCATTTAATCATTCTGCTACTGAATGAAATTAGGCTGCTCACAAATGGCCCCAGCCATTCCCCAACGCATGTTTCCAAGTGTTAGGGGTTGAACTGTGGCCACACACCCCTCCCCTGCTGAATATATACTGAAGTCCTAACCCCAGTACTCCAGGACATGACCATATTTGGAAATGGGGCCTTTATAGGGTGCAAGTGTAATTAAGTTCAGATGAAGTCAAACTTGGAACAGAGTGGGTTCTTCATCCAATATGATTGATGTCTCTRTGAGAAGAAAGAGATTCAGGAGGAGAAGGTGGCCATGTGACAATGGTGGCAGACAGGAAAGTGAAGCATCTATATGTCAAGGAAAGCCAAAGATCCCTGGGGAACAGCAGAATGGAGGAAGAGGCAAAGGAAWATCTCCCCTTGAGGTTTCAGAGGAAGCAGGGCTCTGCGGACACCAGGGTTTCTGATTTCTAGCCTCCTGAACTGTGAGAAAACTAATTCACCAGGAGTTAGGGGAGTTAGTCCAACCCAGTTCTCTTAAATTACCTCTTAAAGCCAGGGAGAGAAGGGAAAATGCTGTAGTTCATAGGACCACAACTACTCTGTGCTAACGAAATCCTCAAGTGTCTTAAAGAATGCTTAGAAGACAGGTAAGCATTTTATGTACAGGATATCTGGCACCTGCTGAATTTTTGTTTGTTTGTTTGTTTTTTGGTTTTTAGAGCCTTGGGACACAACTGAGATAACAGAAAAAAATTCACACTATTCTGTTACATAGGCTTCTTCTTCAAATCAGCCATTCCTCTTCCACTTACTGTTCCACCCACACGCTCACACCTGTGCAGACAGCTGCATGGACATGGATATGCTCTGATCCATTGTTATAACAGTGAAAAWTTGTGAGCAGCCTAATTTCATTCAGTAGCAGAATGATTAAATGAATATATCCAAACTGAGGGCTTCTATGATAAAAAAAAATCATGTTAACTTTCTGTTGTTATGACAAATACCTTAACTAAATCAACATAAGGAAGAAAGGTGTATTTTGGCTTTTTGTTTTAGAGGTTTCAGTTCATGGTCAGTTAGCTCTGTTGCTTTTGGTCCTGTGGTAAGACAGAGCGTCACAAGAGAGCAGTGGGGAGCAGAGCTTGGTGGCCAGATGAAGAAAGAGAGAGAGAGAGGGAGGGAGACAGGAAGGGACCTGGTCCCAATGTCCCCTTCAAGGGCACGCTCCCAGTGACCTAACTTCTTCCCGCTAGGTCCTGCTTTCTAAAGAGTCCAYCGCCTCCCATTTGTGCCACAGAATGGGAACCCAGCCTTCAACATATGGGCTTTTAGGGGGAACGTTTTAGATTCAAACCACAACAAAGATTGGYAGACATCTACAAAACGTAATGTAGAGTTCTGATAAACAAGCTGCAAAAGAAGCACAACATGAGTCTGTTTATGCCAAAATAAAACTGGACTTTGTACATACAAAAACATATCAATGAATAAAAAAGTTTTGGAAGGTGACACATCAAATTCAGGACAAGATGAAGTAGGATTTTCTTTTCACTCTGTAGATATCTTGAAGTTGTTTAATTTTATTTATTTTGATGGAAGTCTTTTCATGTGTAAATTTGCAGTGAAAAGAAAAGAAGCGGGCTGGGGATGTGGCTCGGGCTGGGGATGTGGCTCAAGCGGTAGCGCACTCGCCTGGCATGCGTGCGGCCCGGGGTTCGATCCTCAGAACCACATACCAACAAAGATGTTGTGTCCGCCGAGAACTAAAAAATAAATATTAAAAAAATTCTCTCTCTCTCACTCTCTCTTAAAAAAAAAAAGAAAAAAGAAAAGAAGCTTATTTATATGTTTGTTTGTTTATTTATTTATTTTTGATACCAGGGATTAAACCAAGGGGCCYTTAACTAATGAGCCACATCCCCAGCCCATTTCTATATTTTATTGAGSGTCTTGCTATAGTTCCTTATGGCCTCACTAAGTTGCTGAGTCTGGCTTCAAACTTACAATCCTCCTGCCTCAGACTCCCAAGCCACTGGGAATACAGGTGTGCTCTACCGTGCCTGGCAGAAAATGAAACTTAGCATTGAAAAGGTTGTGGGTAGTTACGTCAGGTTGGACAAGCAGGTTTCCATTTTCTAGTGATCCTCCAGCTGATGTTTATGTTTTCTGTTAGTCTCCCAACTTAGATGCTGTCAACACGGATGTAATTAGCACCTTGTAGTTCCTGCCAGGTAAAAATGGTCTGCTGAGAGGTGCCCTCATGTCAGAGGTGTTCTGCTATCTYGATCCTTGGCTCTGGTTGGAAGCCCATTTGAAGAAGTCCATGACACAGCTGAGGTTGTTGGCACTGAGGGAAGAGGGGTTTCTTCTGAGTTCTACTGTGTCTTCAGGATCTGGCCTAAGGCAAGGTCCAGCCATCAGGAGCACATTGGCCTTGGAGGCCCTGAATTCTTTATACAAGGCTGCTTCACTTTCAAAACGCAATTTCCAAGTGTATCATGATTGCTTCGAAAGACAATTCTAAGGAGATGATCCTGTCTCTCATATTCTTCTTCATCAGATTATGAATGTGATAATGAATTCTGATATCTCACTGCTATTGTGTATAAAGCTTCTGGGAAAAATTTCTTTTAACCTTAAAAATAGAGTTACTTCCCCTGCCAAAGCCCTCCTCATCCACAAGGAAGCTATGACTGTATTAGACTATACTGCTTACTCAAAAATGAAGGAAGGAAGGAAGGAAGGAAGGAAGGAAGGAAGGAAGGAAGGAAGGAAGGGAGGGAGGGAGGGAGGGAGGGAGGAAAATGTCTATCACAACACCCAAGTTTTTCTTTTATGTTTTAAATAATGACTTGGATCATAACAATGAGAAATGAAGGTCCTTTATACTATATGGATTCAGTTATACTGCTGTTTAGATAATTGTCTCCAAAACATAAACAGCTTCCATCTGCATCCACAGTCTCCTCAAGTGGTGCTCTTCCTCCTGATGCCCCCCATCCCCCACACAGGGGAGCAATATTGATGGTTACTGGTTTGATGCTGTGTGATATATTCTTGCAACCTGTTCCTTGTATATCTTACTTGTATCAAACTGAAAAGTAGGTAAGTGGAAGTKTAAGCTTTTGCTTGTTCATTGCTTTCAATTCCAAAGAAGTTACTTCTCTTGGATAATTTATTGCTTTTGCCCCCAAATATTTTCTGAGGCTGTTTAGCTAGTTGGTGGGGATATACTAGGAGAGGTGAGGCAGTAGGGAAGAGCTGTTCCCATAGAGTAGGTGGCCTTGGGGCGGAGACCTACAGGGCGACTACCAGAAGTATATGCAGTTCAGATACTAGTAGTCCTGGGGCAACTGTCAAATCTGTGATTTTAGGTACATGGGAAAATACAATTAGGTGCCAAAGTAACTTTCTGGTACAAACACATATAAATATATACATGGTGGCTTGGTGCACTGGTTATATACTTTGTCAGTGTTGATTTGTATTCAATGTGATTCTAATCTATCCACTATCCTTCATCCATGCATTATCCATTCATCCATCCATCCATCCATCCACCCATCCATCCACCCATCCATCCAACACGCACTTAATTTCATGCTTTAAAATAAAAACAAAACCTTCAAGCAGTGTATAATCTAATATCTCCAAATCTTCACCTATAAATTTATAATCAATATTATTCTACTTCAAATAATGTCTTTTGTAGTGTGAAGAATCAAACCAGGACCTCACAGGTGCTAGGCAAGGGCTTTACCATTGAGCTATGCCCTCAGTTTTAAATAATTTCTTGAAGCATCATATGCTTATTGTATTTCATTTGAAAAACTAGAACACTTACTTAAGGCCCAATTAAATGTTCAAAGTGAGTTCTGAGTTTTTATCTTATCATGGTATACAGTACTAAAATATAATCACTCATACTGGAGAACATGATAATTTATCATTTTTGTTGAATATTCTTCTCTTTCTTTTTCTCTCATTTATCCATAGTTACTTACAGAGTATCTGAGATGTTTTAAAATATCAAAATATGTATATGTGTATTAGCTTCATGTGACTACAACAAAATACCTGAGGCAACTAATAAAGAGAAAAGATTTATTAAGCTCACAGTTTTGGAGTTTCAAAGACATGACACTTGCACTTTTTCAGTTCTGGTGAGGGTAGTGGATGGTAATATATCATGGTGGCAGTGCATGTAGAAGCAAGCAAATTATTACATTTTCAACTGGAGAGGGGGGAGGGAGAGGGAGGGAGAAAGAGAAGGAGAGACAAAGACCATAGTTCCACAATTGGCTTCAAGGGCACACCACCATTGACCTAAGGACCTTTTAAAGATACACAGCATCCAATAGTGGGGACCAAGACTTTGCAAATGGTCCTTTGGGGGAACACTCAGAAAAACCATAGGAGTATGTATGAAAATCATTTAAAATTTTTGTTTGATGAAAAAATATATAAAAGTATATAGATATAGATTTTAAGTGGATGTTACCAAATACCTGAATTGAATTAATTAAATTGAATATCAAACTCAACTAAGAAATCCTGATACTGGTACTGCCACTAAAGGCAGTAGGTAGAGGCTATCTAGCCCCACCCCCAGGCCTTAAACCACCAAGCAGGAGTCTCAGTTTCCTGTCCTGTGCTTGACCCATTTGAAGTGGTTCTGAGGCCTCTACTGATTAACCTACTCACCCAGCAATATACCATTTAGTCAGACTGCCAAGTTAAGATCCTTTGAGCCAATTCATGGTACTGTGGGGTTCTGCTTACTATCATGCTATGGGAGGGACCATCATGGTTCAGCCGGAGAAAAGAAAACTGGATCAGTTTGATCGTATTCCTAGGCAGGCTCACTCTGAACCTCTGTGAGGTCTGCTTCTCTTTCAGCATAACATTTTTGAGTGCTCTCTCATTTTCTAATTTGCTCCAATGGACCATTGAGTTACTCAAGGTGTGATCTTCAAAGTGGATGTTGGTTCTCAAATTGTTACAGCTGAAGAAGAGATAAAAAGTTTACCCTACAATATAAGTCAACTTTTCTCAATAAAAACACTATGTAGTCAGCTTAGCTGGTCTTCTCTTCCCCTTCCTTCTTTTCTTTTCTTTTTTCTTTTCATTCAGGAAGTTTGTCTTGATAAAGAAGCAGTATGCTTAATTATATTCTGGTGCAAGACAGAAAATAATTGTAGAAAGCTGAATTACACCTGGATAGATAGGAGTGACATTGGGAATATGGAATCCTATACTACCAATTATCACCTGCCTCAGATACCAAAACACTGGTCTTTTTCTCTTGGATTTCAGTGTGTCCATCCCAAAGCCTCATGAATAGCTTCCTACAGTGTTCAGATTTCCATAGTAGTAGTTGTGGCTATTTCTTTCAGCCCCTTGCTTACAGGTCCTAGTCCATAATGTTTGATGGAACATCTTCCCAACTCTCAGAGACACTCCCTGGATCCCCATTTCTTATAAGGTGTGACAGCTCAGAAAAGCTGCTCATTTGGATAAAGTCTTATCTGTGTGTGCTTATCACTCGCACCAGAGCTGAGGAATCTTGGAAAGCAGTCTACCCTGGGTGATATAACCCTGGTTATTTGAGTCATTGGGTGGGAGCATTAAAGGACATCTGGTTTATAGACAGGAGACTGGGCCAGACCAGGGTGTTCCAACCAGCTCTCCTTTATCTCAGGATGTGACATTCCCGTCCCATTCTGCCATTGTTCTTGAAAACTAAGTGAGCAATGGGGAAGCACTGGGCTCATCCACCGTCATCTGGAAGAACATCCCGGAGCACCTACCTCATGTGGAGCTGGGAAGGGTGACCTGGGAAGGGTGCGGTTCCATTTCTAACAAATAGGATGTGAACACCCGTGGTGTTGATGTCATCTTCTCAAAGCAGTTCCACCATGCTGTCATCATGCTTGTACCTCTGGCCACACAGAGATTTCTGGCAGTAGGCTGCAAAGGTCCAAACCCTGAGTCTCAAGAAGGAAGACAGTTCCCACTGGCCTACCCGAAAAATGACAAGCTTAGAACAGAGTGAGAAAAGCCAGTCTATCTTTGGCCAGAAATAAATTTTATAGAAACAGAAATGATTGATAAAATACACTCCCAAGTTCTTCCTGATGAGGCATGCTATTATTTTAAGTTGATTTCTTATGTTGTAACCCTCTCTCAGGCAAAGTCACCAGTAATCTGAAGCCCCAAATTAAGAGCTGGACAGTAGGGCCAATATTCATCCCATTTCTTCTGAGAGGCTTCAAAATGTACATCTCTAAGTATGCAATAAAAGTGAAGATGAGAATTCTGATAATAATAATAATAATAATAATAATAATTGTAGGGTAACTTGCTATAAGTTTGAGAATCATGCACAAGTAACCAACAGTATTCATGGTAGTCCCTTCATGCTTTGGTCATTCATTCCTGCATTTACAGTGCTTCCGTTTGATGTCCAGGACCAGGTTAAGGTCTAAATGGCACCAGCAATATTGTTGGAATAAAGAAATGACACAGCTGAAAAGGATTATGAGAAGGCTTGAGTGTCCATTCTTACTTTAATGCTAAGTTACTCTTGCTATGCAAAGATGGAAAGGAACATGGAATTGTAATAATGCTTATCTTATCACCAGGTGAGATAGCAGAATTTTCCTGTTTAGAAAGGATCTTGGCAAGACATGAATTGCCGAAAGAGATTAGTCTGACTCCTAAGCCGAGCAGAATGCACTCATGGCAAAGAAAAGCCATGAACAATGTGAGTGACGGGTGGAAGAAGTGCCGCTTATGGAGGAGGAACATAAAAGAGCCTCCGATGAGCACCGTGGTTGTCAGGTAGGTGCTGGGCACTTTTTGTCTAAATATGCAGACTTATTTAGAGATATTCAGAATTAATGTTGATAAGACATAGAATATTCTATGTAATTTGCCGCAGTCTGGCTGGGCACAAATCACCCAGCCGCCACAAAGCACTTGTATGTTCAAACAGGAAACTTTATTGCCTGAACTCCACCAGCACTCCACGCACACTCCCCGGGAACTCTCCCGAAGGCCACCCACGCGGCCCTTCTCCGGCACACCACACCAACCAGAACTTCACCAACCAACTCGAACTCCCTAGGAGATCCTCGGGAGAACTCCAAAGTAGTGGGCGCTGGAGGCGGACAGCAGGGGTCTATATACAATTGAATCAATCCAGCATCACCTTAATGGCTCGCCTCTCAACCATTACTTCTGGCAAAATACCAGGGGGCCATTCCGACTGGGCTGTGGCTCTCAACAGGGTCTCACTAAGTTGCCAAGAGACTTGCTAGGTTGCTGAGGCTGACCTCAGCCTCCTGTCTTRGCCTCCCAAGATGCTGGGATTACAGGCATGCGCCACCATGCCTGGCTACCATTTACTGTTGAAGTAACTAATTCAGTCCTGCAAGAATGTGACTTGAGCAAGTCCTATCAGAATGGCGTTGATTCCTCTTAATTACCTAAACACCTTRTAAAGCTCCCACCACCTCTCAACACCATTGCACTGGGAATTACGGTTCCGGCACATGAACTGTGGGGCACATATTCAGACCACAACTCCTGACAATTTCAATTTTAGGGTCAAACCCTACATGAGGCTTGGAGGCTTCTGGCAAAGTTCCTTCAATTCTATGCCTTGTAGATAAATAATAAATCAGCAGGCATAAAGGCCGGCAGTCCTGGGACACCAACTGGTAAACAGATTTTCTGAGCATCTAGAATTGCACACAGTGGTGTATTTATCCCTGTTGGAGAACTTGGTGGGATCCCAACTTTCAGTTTTATAATACTATAAAATCCCTACTGGATACTGCATGTAAATCATAATTACTTGTAAACTGTATTTATTGGCTCAATATGTCATATTTATGGGYTCTAGGGCTTCATTTTTCTTTTTCTTTTTTKGRAA